GGGTGGGTGTGGAGCCGGCAGGTGGCATGGTGGTGAAGGGCGCTAGACTCCCAAGAAAGCAAGCCACCAGGCCCAGGACTCGAACCATAGTTCGCCATGTAAAAGTCCAGCATCCTAAACACCATGCTACCTGCCAGACCCTAAAAACCACTTCTTAAAAAACTCCCCCCAAAAAGCAGGTGGCATGGTGGTTAAGGACACTGGACTCCCACATGGTCAACCACGGTTCGAGTCCCAGACCTGGCAGCCTGCTTTCTCATGTTCCCTCTCTCCTGTTCTGCCCCTCTCTGGTCAAATTAAAACAAGTAAATAAACTTAAATAAAGTCACTATTAAAAAAAAACAAAATTGAGGGACCAGCAGTTAGCGTAATGGCTATGTCGCTGGACTCCCACGTAGTCGACTGCGGTTTGAGTCCCGGACCCAGTGGCTTAAACTCACGCCGGGCGCATGTGTGTGCACGTGTCCAAGATCCCGAGAGGAGAATGGAGGAGAAGGGATTGCGGCGTGGCCATCTCCCCCGGGGGGTGATTTCTCACTTTCTGTCTCTCTGTCTCTCTCTGTCTGGCGAGCGCATGCACCCTATAGCAAAAACCTCTCCAAAAAAAGGAAAAAAAAGAAAAAAAAATTGAATGGGGCCAATAGCATGGTGGTTAAAGGCACTGGATTCCCAGAGATGGCTAACGACGGTTCGAGTCCTGGATCTGGTGTCTTGCTTTCTCACTTTCCCTTTCTCTCTTTCTCTGTCTCTCTCTGGTCAAATGTTTTTTTTTTAAATAGGAATAACAAATGGAAATCAATCAATCAATCTTTGAGAGAATCAAGGTGGGGCGAAGACCCCTCGGCACTCACTCGGCTTTGCTGGGCTTGGGGCTGTGGGCCTCAGGCGCATCGTACTCCCGCAGGTCTTTCGGCTCACGCACCTGTCCGGTCAGCACCTTGGCGGCAAATGCCAGGATGTACTGCAGAGGGGGGAGGGAGGCACCGGTGAGGGGGAACCCCTTTCCTTAGCGGAGGGGCCTCCTAACAGCGCTTTGCACCTGCTGGCCTCCTGGGCATGCGCGAGACGGGTGGGGCGGGGACGAGAACTCGAGCTGCCACTGGTGACCAAAGCCACACCCCCG